AATGATGGAGGAAGGACATTGGTTAATTATAATAAAGAAACTGCCTTGGCCCATTTTATTGGATAGAAAATTAGGTAGGCAGAGTATACAGAAGAGAATTCTGGGAGAAAGAAGCTGAGTCAGGGAGTCGCCATGATTCTCCCGCTCCAGACAGATGCAGGTTAAGATCCTCCCTGGTAAGCCAGCTCGTGGGCTACACAGAATATTAGAAATGGGTTAGAACAATATGTAAGAGCTAGCCAATAAAAAGCTGGAACTAGCCGGGCCAGGCAGTGTTTAATAGAATACAGTTTCCGTGTAATTATTTCGGGGCATAAGCTAGTCATGCGGGCGGCCGGGTGCCGGGGACGCAGCCCTGCAGCCCTTAATTCAACATCCATTGTCTATATAAAAACTAGTTCCAGTTAGGTTATTACTTAAATTTGAGAAACAAAACCTTAAAGTCCTAGGATATCGACCAAGCCCCCAAATGGTGAGAGTCCAGAGGATCAGTCTCTACTCTGATAATGGTACTTCAAATGGTCACAGTTTGTGGAGTAAGAACTCTCTCTCCTGGGAGCTGGAGAGATGGCTTGGTAGTTAAGATCATTACTGTTTCACAGGGTTCAACCATGCTCTCTTCTGACCTCCTTGGGGACTACATACATGTGGGACACAGACATACATGTAGGCAAAACACCCACACACATAAAAATGAATAAATAGCCAAAAAAGAAAAAAATAAAGAGAACTCCCCCTGGAAAGTCTCTCCTTCTTTGGCACAATATCTGCAGCTGTCCCATGACTTTACAGACGTGAGCGTTACGTTCCAGGTAGATTTCCTGGTTCTTTCCAGTTGTTGCTATTTCAGATCTTAACCCTTGCACAAAAGCACAAGTGTCTCACTTTTCCCTTTTTGCGAGGGGGAGGGCAGGATTTCTCATTACAACTAAGTCTGGTCTCAAGCTCTCTGCCCCACCTCTGCTTCTCAAGTGCTAGGACTTCTCCTCCCTCCCACCCTCCCTCCCTCCCTCCCTTCCTCCCTCCCTCCCCCACCTCTCTCTTCTTTTTTTCTTTTTGAGACAGTTTTTTGTTTGTTTGTTTTTGAGACAGCCCTGGCTGTCCTGGAACTTGACCTACAGACCAGGCTGGCCTCGAACGCACAAAGATCCACCTGTCTTTGCCTCCCAGTGCTGGGATCAAAGGCGTGCAACACCATACCGCCTGGTGAGTTTCTTTTACTTTTAAGAGCTTTTCATTTAAACACTAACAATGACATAACTTCTCAGTGGTGGAGAGGCCTTTTCTTGCTCTAACCCCTTCACACACACACACACATACACACACACACCGCCGCTTTCAGCCCCTCAACCAGAGCTGCCACAGCTCCTCTAGCCCCACTTTAGTCTGGCCTTTCCCACCTAACAGCTTGAATGATCACTTCCCAGTGGAAGGCTTTCCAGTGGCCTCCTCTAACCCTCTCAGCCCAGTTGGGTTCCTTACAGCTGTGAGACACTGCCTGACCCCATCTACCAGCCTTGCTAGAAGGCTTGAAAAATCCCCTTTCCTTAAAGCAAAGCAGTACATACTAACCCCAGAAATGTCTGGATCGATCCAACTGTTTACAGTTTCCCGATCTGCCAGGCTATTGTGCATTCTGTTTCTTGTTGCCTGGTATCCTAGCCCAGGCGAGTATTACATCTTGCAGCGGCTGGCCTCAAGCGCTGGGCGGGATAGATGGCGAGTCTGCTAGACGAGTAAGGGATGGAGAAAGAGAAGGCCTATTTCCTTTTCGGAATAGGGAGCAATGGCCGTGACTCGGCGAGGCATCCAGAGCGCGCCCTGTGTAATGAAGGGAAGAACTAAAGAGCAGTACGCTACGTTAACCAGGGGCAGTGGATGGCAAAAAGCAGAATCTTTCTCAAGTGGAAAAGGAGAGAAGGCTAGATATATTGGAAAGTCCCCGTATATTATATAACCAGCAAGAAAGCCAGGCTGCTTAAGGGACCACGATGCCTGTCGTCTCCTCTGAGACTTCGGGTTCTCGTCTTCCCTTCTTCTTGAGGCTTTCTCTATTCTGCGCATGTGCTGCCTAGTCGATTGCACTTCTCCCTGACTTCCTGGCCTGAGTACTCACACAGGCTGCCTGTGGCCCTTCTGTTTCAATCCCAGGTCGGAGGACCGAGGGACTGCCTCAGCCATAGACTGGTCCCATGACTCACATGATAGTTGTGTTAGCCAGCTTCATCCGCGCCATTTGGCTTAAGAAAGGTTCATTGAACTCCTATTTTGGAAGGAAGAGATCATGATTCCATGGTCCCTCTCACCCCCAGACCTCTAACTTCATTCTTTAAAGGCCCATAGCACACCCGACACCAGCACCCTGGGCTCCCAGCCTTCCCATACGGACCTTTAGAGACATTATTCCAGATTGGCGGGCTCCAGTGATGTCTAGCCAGCCTTTTCTTTTCACAAAACGAATATCCATTAAGTTCGTTCAATAACTTTTTTTTCTTCGGGACAGGGTTTCTCCGTGTAGCTTTGGAGCCTGTCCTAGAACTCACTCTGTAGACCATCAGGCCAGAAATCCTCCTGCCTCTGCCTCCCAAGTGCTGGGATTAAAGGCATGTGCCACCACCACCCGACTTCAATTGCTTTTGAATTGTTCGCGCTGAATTGAGATCCCTCCCCCTTTTCTCCTCAGTTCTGAAAAGCTTGTCTGTACATCCAAGTCACTTCTGCCTCAGGAAGAGAAGACCTGCAACATAAGCCAGATTGTCTTTGAAAGGCAGTTCCGTTCCTCTAAGCTCAGCCTGAAGAAGAAAGAGGCTGAGAAGAAGGGTCCAGTAAGCTGAGGTCTGGGAGTGGGGCTGGGTGGACGGCATTGCAATACCCACTGCCCAGAACAGCGAGCAGAACCTGGCAGAGCCCTCCCCCGCAAGGAAGAGGGGAAAGTGGAGGCAGTGGGGGCGTTCAAGTCCTGCAGTGAGCTGGTGGCTGGCCTGGCACTCTGTCCCTCTGCCCTGCTGGGTGCTGAGCGAGGAAGGGACTCAGAAACACAGTGTAGGTGGGTTCAGAACACAAGTGCAGACCTGTCTTTACAAGGTGAGGGCCAAGAAGACTGGCCAGAGCCGGTCCACCAGTAACTTCAGCCCTCCTCTTTCCTGAGCCTTCCTGCCTCTGACAGTTTCTACCATTTACTATTCACTGAAAGCAGACTGTAACTGGATCGGACATTTTGCTCTTAGCCAGGCTTGGTGGTGCACACCCATAATCCTAGCACTTGGGAAGTGAGGGCAGTAGGAAGACCAGGGACTGGAGAAGATGGGTAAGCTGTCAACAGTACTGGCTGCTCTTCCCCAGGACCCAGGCTTTATTCCAGCATCCACATAGGGAACTGATGCCATCTTCCGGACTCCGTGGGTACTGCATGTGTCTAGTGCACAGACCTACAAGCAGGCGAAACACTCATACACACATGATAACATTTTTAAAAATTAAAAAGAATTTGAGGCCAGCCTGGTCACACGGCAAGACCCTGTCTCAAAAAACTACCACCAGCAGCAACAAAAATTGTTCTTAATTCAGTTATAATAGGCAATTTTAAAAATGAAACATGAGAAAAAGGGGTGGAGGGCAAAATGAACTTTTGCGTATTTCAAAGGGAATTTCCCCACACACAGAGTTTTGCATATAGGGCTAAGATCCCATGGGCTCCTGGCCTCTTTGTATCCCCCTTCTCTCCCTTTGAGGCTTAGTCACAGAGCTCATGGCACAAGGGTTTTCCCTGATCCCTGCCACACTGAGAGCTAACGACTCAGAAGTCGTTACATTAATTTTCTCTATTCTTGAGAACCTCATACAAGGAAACATCACAGATATCCCTGTTTCTCCCAACTGCCTCCAAATGACTCTCATCACAGCCCCCTCTCCAAACTCATGTCCTTGTCACTGTCCCCTCCTCCTTCCCCATAGCCCACTAAGTGTGATTAGTGCTGCCCTTAGTGGATGGTGCTGGGCCCATCCTCAGTGTGTGGGGAGCCTACCACTGGCAACACATGAAAGCAAAGAAAAAGACTCTCCTTCCCTCAGCAGTTATAAGCTGCCAATAGCTCCTCAGTAAGACATGGGGTCTGGGGATCACTCCCCCCATCTATACCAGAATTCTGGCTGGATTGGCTTTAAATACCACGGCTGCTGTGAACCCATGAGGGTGACAGCATGCCAAGCTCACAACATGATTATGGAAGTTACAAAATAATCCCACACTAGCTCAGAATTACGTATAATAAAGAGTTATTTATTAGGGGTGGAGGTGGGGACTCATAATCACTGTCCTAGATCACAGTCCTCTGCATGAACAGGGAACAGGAACCAAATCTAGCAGCTGGAAGCGAGAACCGGAAGCAAGAGAGCGAGTGCATGCTTTACAACTGCATTTGTATATGAGAGACCAGGCCCAAGCGGGCTGGGATCTTAAAGGCTATTGGCTGAAGGAGCAGGAGGAGCTCCCACAGCAACAGCGCTCCTCCCAGTTATCAATCAGACACATACACACACACACACACACACACACACACACACACACACACACACACGTTTTCAGAGAGACTCACTATGTAGTTCTGGCTGAACTCGCTCTGTAGACCAGGCTGGCCTCAAACTCATAGAGATCCACCAGCCTCTGCCTCCTGAGGCCGTGCCATTATGTCCAACTCTTTTTCTTTTTTTTTTTCTTTTTTAATTTTTTATTGAGAAAAAGAAAAAAAATGTTTCTGCCTCCTCCCAGCCTCCCATTTCCCTCCCCCTCCTCCCAGTCTTCTTCCCCTCTCCCCACTCCTCTCCTCCTCCCTCTCCAGTCCAAAGAGCAGTCAGGGTTCCCTGCCCTGTGGAAAGTCCAAGGTCCTCCCCGCTCCGTCCATGTCTAGGAAGGTGAACATCCAAACTGGCTAGGCTCCCACAAAGCCAGAACATGAAGTAGGATCAAAACCCCGTGCCATTGTCCTTGGCTTCTCATCAGCCCTCATTGTTTGCCTTGATCAGAGAGTCCGGTTTTATCCCATGCTTTTTCAGTCACAGTCCAGCTGGCCTTGGTGAGCTCCCAATAGATCAGCCCCACTGTCTCAGTGGGTGG